ATAAGAAGTGCGAATGAGTCCAATATTTACCGAATGTATTGGTTTTCTCTAGTCATTTCTTTGTTATTTGTTAACGACACCACAAACTGACAGCAAAACTTAGTGTGGTGTAAGAATGCACAAGTAGCTCAGAGGTCTGCTCCATATCCAGTGATTAGCGAACCGTCGCGCGTTTTCGTGCTAGTTCCCAGCGGTTACAAATCGCGACGATTGCCTCGCGACGGGTATGCGCGGCCCTTAATTGTCCGCAAGTACTCCTACTATCCGTACTACGAACACATCAAACACCAGCAAAAAGTTCAACGTTTGTATGATCCCCTGATAATCCCCGGCGCTTTTCTTCAAAGTCATTTTTCTTCCTTTGAAGTTAACGAAAACCTTCCAAAGTTATACTGATTATCTAAGGCAAGGGACATATCTCACGCGGTTTCAGTCACCACGCGATCTGGCAATGCCAGATGTTTTCAAATTCAATACTGGTAGACCACAAATGTACAGCATGTATAACTTTCGTAGGTTGATAAAATGCCCCATCTTCCGTACATTCAGAAACCAAGTACGATGAGTTATGAACATTTGGAGTATTGCCAAATCGCGTCGCGACTGAAATCGCGTGAGGTACGCCCGAGGCCTAACACAACAATGCTATCTATGCCGCTGATGAGAACAAATGAATTTTTGTAAACTGAATTTTTTTGTAATCCCCAACCGACTTGTGGTTGAAGACTGACGCAAATTTCATAAATCCGATACATCACTTGAATTTATCAGCAACATGCTAAGCACTGTTGGGCTGGATGATCACAACTTTGTGAGCTTTCCCTTAAATTCGCAAAATACCCTATTTTCAGGTGTATAAGCCGCACCCTTTTTGCTCTAAACGCGAGCATACCGCAGGAGTGCCGCCGCGCATGTGTCTCGCGAAGCGGTCGCGTTGTCGCATACTGCTCTCACTTAACGCACTCCATGATGACAGTCAGTTTTTTGGCCTGTTCGCCTTTAGAGCGAAAAGGGTGCGGCTTATACACCTGAAAATAGGGTAAATGACTCTAAAGAAAGCGCCGGGATTATCAAGGATCATACAAAGCTGGAAAATGCGGCTTATACAGCTTCTCGCTGTTGCCCAATGTATTTATATTGAATGATGATAAAAATACTTACGAGTAGGTAGACAACGTAAAATCCAGACATTTAGGCCTTCAAAATAGAAGCTTTTCGTAAGGCTGCGATCCCCTCCCCGCGGGGATGTTGATGCATGCGGCTATAAGAATATCGGAGTGGATTTCTCGCAAAGCAACGTCCCCGAGAAAGACCTTTAACGAGGTGGACATTTGTGTACGTGAGGATGACCAGCTGTAAAACCAGCTAGACACGATTTTTGCATCTGTTACTCGTGGAAGTAGCCGTCGACGACAGGTTAGAAGATCATGGATGTTTGAAACGAGGCACAGAGCGCATAGAAACCTTTACGCTGGGGCCAGCATGCAATTTGAAGATATGTGAAACAAAGAAAAATATACCTCTGACTAAGCATCTGAGCAAGTAAGTGACGAATGCAGTTGCCGGACGATGCAGATAACGAGATTATGCCATTATTGATTAGTAGACACTGTCTAAATAACAACTCCTAGCTACAAAGTTCAGCCACTAGGATTGGTAGCCCTCACTTTGCTCATGCATGAAAATGCATAAAGGAGAAGACTTTGTGGAATGCTTGAGCGAGACGACCGCAGGATCTAAGCCGCTGGTGTGCTTACTAGGAAGAATCGTCATGTTTTGGCGAGCATCCCATTATACTTTGAATCGAATCGAATGACCATTCCATTATTCAAATAAATAAAAATTCAGATTGAATATATTCAATAGGGATTCAAAAATCTCAACTTTCATACTATTCGATAGTCGTACTTTCTGGTCATTAATCCGATTATTTGATGTTTATCGAGTATTCGAATACTCGATGAGCACTAAATATTCGAAAGCTTGATGCACATTGACCATCGGAAGTTCATTGAGTATCGGATATTAGAGAATTCAATATTCATAGCATAGACGGGGTGTCCCAAAAGTATCTAAACGGTGTTTAAGTCCTTCGTCATTCATTATTCTGTAAAATTGGCTTCAGCTTTATTGCCAAAAAGCGAATTACCTATGCTTTTTATTATTATGGAATTAAGGTAGGAACTTCCAGCATATAGAGCAACTGTGCGATTTTAAAGACTTCTACAAGTCAACCTACAAAAATTGCATAGCAGAGTTTTTACGTGTGCTGTTTTACTACACAACTTATCTCGAGTTTTTAAGTTTTTCAAATGTGTAATCACGTTTTTGAGAAGCATTGAAATTTGTTACGTGTACCTGGCGTAATTTGTGAAAAAGGCTGCGATTAAGTGCAAATTTTGTATCTAAATTGAGTGACTCTAAATGTCTGAAGTAGGACTCTCGGCGTTTTTGTATCCTTATTGAAACAAAATACCGCTGGCTAAGTTTCAAATCCCTCTTCAGTTTTGCTGCGTAATCCTACAACCCGAAGAAAAACCCGATGATCCGTTCCATACCTTGAATTCAAGTTGAAATCAGCCCTACAGAATGGTAAATACCTAAAGTTTGGAAAAAGGCTTTGTGGGAAGAGAGTTAACGACTGAACAGTGTCTATGTACTGTTCGACAGCCAGTATATCACTCCCAATACTCAATGAGGGAGGGAAGCGTAGTAAGCAAGATGAGCCGTCTTTGTATGCCGTATTACAACTGATGCTCTTTTCTACTCAGTGACGCCAACATTTGAAATGTTAATCTTCTACAAAGTTTTGAATAATTTCTTCACATTATAGGAGTAAGCTTTAGGTCCCGAGCCTCTTGCTGTCAAGCTAAGCCGTTTTTCCATCTTATGTAACATACGTAAAATATTAGGTTGTTGCATAAGTTCTGTCCGATTTTTTTGCCTTATGTTTGAGGTAGCTGTTCTAAGAGAATTTCATCTCTAATGCGGTATTGTTAGCATCATTAAAAAGTGTTTTTCTTGCGCTTTTCAAGGCATAAAAATTTTAATAAATTTCTTAGTGTAAGGAGATTTCAGGCCTAAAATCTCCAAGTGGCCGAGGTACGTTCTCACCCTAGAAATATGTTCTTGCGAGGAAATCTCCACAATGCGCCCTTCAGGTCAAGTTTTTTAATTGGTAGCGGAATAAGGGTGTAATAGGCTAGTATACGCATAAATCCAGTTCCATGAAGAAAACGTCTTGCTAGTAAAATTTATTGTCAAACATTAATTGTATAGATGTTTTACAAGCTATAATTTTCTGTGAATAGAAGTAATGACAACTTCAAAGTTGGAGGTGCCAGCGTAAAGCAAGGGCTAGCAGAGACCATCCACCATTTTTTTTCGGCGCTCACGCAACTGTAAAAATTTCCGTAATTTGTAAATAATGCACACATGCGCTGAAGCGAGGTCAAAAAGTGGCCAATTTTTTGTTCGGTCAAAAAATCTTTCGGTAACGCTGACCCTATGGGCTCTTTTATGGTGCAATAATCTACGAAAAATTCTCTATTTATTTATCATTAGACAAGATGCCTATCAATTCTCATAAGGGAGCACTGCCATGTCAAATAAGAAAGGTTTGGAGAAAAACGCTGTAAAGTTTTTGAGTTCTTATTTCTTCCTTAATACGGATTTCCACAGGTTTCAATATGTGTCTGATAAAGGAATCGCTCAACAAATAGAAACTAAGATCTTGGAAAAAAGCGACTTTGAAAGAAGCTATGACATTTTGAAGTCAAAAATTTCGAATCGGACAGAACTTATGCAACAACCTAATAATTTATGTAAAACATATGCGTCAGATTGTGAAGAAAGTTACCGGAAAGTTTTGGAAATTTCATTTTCAAACTTGGTTCAGCCTTGAAGACAAATATGTCAAATTCCTGTAGAAGAAAGGCCAAGCTTTCCGGAGTCGCATCCAGTTTTCATAGATGTCAAAATGTATTTGACCTACACACCAAAAAAGGAAGTCTATGCAGCAATGAAAATTTCGCAATTATTCTTTTTGCTGCCATTTTTTCGCACTAAACGAAGAAACCATTTGATAATTGGTGCATCTGAATAAGGAGGTTGTTTACTTTGATATTCCAGTTGTGCTCGAATTTTGCAATAGCGGTCAAAAATTACGAGCTGTCAAACTTGCATTCAACCGTACGTGTTTTCACAGTTGGCATCAATTTTTTGAGGATCGTCACGCCTCGGTGATGAGCCTAGAAAATGTGCAAGACATTACTCCAACAATATTTGAAGCAAACAAAGATTTAACTCATTCCGTAGAAAGAAGATAGATTTCAACCTCATTTATTCAAAAAAGGAGCATTTTTAGAGTGCAAAAATGGCCGATTTTCAATTTTTTCGAAAAAATTTGTTTTTAGGCTGTGCTCTAAAATTGTGACACAGTCTATAAACAGTCTCAGCAAAATTGTGCTGACTAACGGATATGAGCTCTATAGCTCCTCTTGCCTAAGAAATTCTTGCACTAGCAGGCCATAAGTCGAACATTTTCTCTACTGCGCATGCTGGCGGCCCGAAATGAAGTGCTGAGAACCCAACAAAACAGTTATACCTTAGACAGCATTGCATTTGCAGTAAAACATGCGAGAACTTTCTTTACACCCAGTAAAAAAGTGTGTACGTTCAATACTTACATGAATATTCTCACTATACTAATTTACTCATATAGCTAGATATTTTAGCCACTCAGGCAGCTATCCCATCGAAATCAAACTGATCGAATAACAAAATCAAATGATGTTCAAAAATTAAACAATACCCGAAAACCAAATAGGTAGTATTCGAAAGTCGAATAACGAATGATATTTGATATTCGAATGTTATTCGATAGCTGAATGTTTGAAAATTTCGGCTTTTAAACACTATTCGACATTCGGATATTCAAAAAAAACATCAGATTTGTCTAAATATAAGGTCCATAACCTTATAATTCACATAAATTGTAGGAGATCGAAAACAATACTGAGTACTGCGAAACTGAAGAATGTGAAAGTGCAGTGGAATCTATTCAGTACGCAACAGTTTCATTATTCATTCTTTCATATGTAATCCCAGGTTGGTGCCCCCATTTTTTTGTACAAAAAAGTTTTTCTGGCAGCGTGACTTGCAGTCATAATTCTTGCAACAATGTGTTATCAAATTGCGGCCTCTGTGCGCTCAACATCCTGCAATACCCAGACATGCATTAAAAAAACTCCCAACAAGATGAAAAAACTCCTTAGTGAGTTGTTATTATTATTTATTTTGATTTTGTCGCTGCTTTGCGTTGAATAATATCCCTTCTTTCAGTAGCTGTAGTAGTGTCTTTCTTGATTTGCTGGTCACCTCATCAGATAACGCTAGTAATTATAGCTTTTAAAGTTGTGGAATTTGAGAAGTCTGTATTCGATGTCATTACAAACATATCAGGTAATTATCCTAACTAAGACGACTTTTGTATCCCGTCAAATTGTTCAGAATGCTGTTTGTACCTAAACTGTGCCGTGAATCCTATACTATACAACATGTTTTCAAGAAATTTCCGGAGAGCGCTTCAGAATATGATCAGTGGTGGACCAAATGCAACAGCGAAAGCGACTTGTTCTGCTTCCGTTGTAAGTAATAAAACATCGACTGTCACTTGTCTCAAGTGATTTATGTGTCTGAATAAAAGCATTTGCATTTGCTCTTAGTGTATTTTATGTTACTTTGATATAGTAATGTTATAAAGTTGTATAAATTTATAACATTATTATTCTAATTTCATTAAATCTTTATATTAGGTTTAACCGAAAGTTCTGTAACACTATTCAAAAAGTCATATCTTCTTCCTGTCACATTAGTCTTGCATGGCAAAATTAGAACTAGTAAGAGTATTTCATGTACTTTCTAGTGACACCTTGCTTGCTCTCCCATAATTTCTGACTGCTGAGATAAAAGTGGGAAAAGAAGATCACTTCAGGTTCGGAATTTTGAGGCAAGAGAGTCAAAAATTCCAAAACTGCGCCATAAAATCCAAAACAGCCTGTATCCCATACTTTCTGACCCCCTCTTTCTAAGTGAGCAAACTTTGCGCTGATCGAGCTGTTCTTTGAGGAGTTATGATTTTTGAGAAAAAATGGCAAAGAAATCAATTTTCTCAAGAAACCGATTTTTTGATACTTTTTTCTCAAATATTCTCTCAAAAACTTTTTTAGACAAGTTCGGTCGGCGCGAATTTTGCTCAATCAGAAAGAGAGGATCAAAAAACCTAGGTTACTGGCTCCTTTGGATTTTCTTGCACAGATTTGGAATTTCTAACCGGCTTGCCTCAAAATTCCAGAATTAAACTAAAATACTGAACATATCCTTTCCACAATTTTATCTATGCAATCAGAGCATGGGAGAGAGACAGCAAGGTGTCTTTAGAAAGTACATGAGTTGGTCTTCCTAGAATTGCTTTTTCGATGGAAAATTCTATGTCAGGAAGAAATTACGATTTTTTGAAAATGGTGTGGGATTTTTTCAACAAATGAGTGCTCTGAACTTGTAAATGGAAAGTGAAATACTCGTGGCATTTGCAATGGTAATGCTGTCGCTCCTTTCATTAACAGTTTATTCCGCCAAGTGTTGTTTATTCTACGTTCTTTATGAAGCAGCAGAAAAATCGATAGCAGCGATAAATCGTGAATTTCTTTTGATGAGCAGCGTTAGTTTTGTATTGAAAACGAAATTACCCATATCAAGATAGTCACTTATTCCAGTATAAGTTCCTTCCTAGTTTGTGCTTCATGTCGAGCACTAATTTTCCACTTGAATCAGAAAACTGTTATGATCCCCACGACTTTGAAGTGCAACGTTCGGTTAATTTGATCTTGAAATAAAGATTTCGTTTGAAAATGTAAGCATTCACCTTGCATATATACATAAAGTGGCGGACCGAGGGCGACGTCGCCTCGGGACCAGGCACGGGTCGGTTTCTAGAATTTCTGATAACGATGTTCAGCTTTCGAGAGGTTTACAAAGTCCCCTTTAACCTTCATCGAAAATCTGCCGACGGATAAAATGAAAACAAAAAAGAGTTTCTGATCTAGCGGAAGAAATCTGGAATAAAAGTAAAGTTCAAGGTTTAACTGAACACCGCAGACGCACAAAAGTTTTGCATTGGAGCGCGGTATCTAACACTGCATTTGTGGAGAGACTGAGTCATGAAACAAGGGGAGTGCAATAAGATGAGAATGTCTTAAGGCCCAAGGAGAGGTTCTTGACCGGGGAATCCGTTCATGATAGGAAGATCCAAAACGTTCTAACCTTAAAGAAATATATGTTCTGTAGGATCTCATCTTGTATGGCGGCCGTCTGGAAATTGACTAATCAAAAGACTGTTACTTCAGTTTTCCGAATTTTTCTCAAAATTCTTCTGCATTCAAAATTCTATGCCTAAATTCAAATTTGATGTCATATGCTTGCCTCTACGCTGTAAACAAACTTTTTTTTTCAGATATCGGCCTTGCTTTCAAGTCGCTTTAGCATTTCGTAAGAGATTATGGAGCATGTTCATCGCGTAGTGACCGTCTTTGAAGCTTTGCTTCACTGAATGGTTGCTGGGATACTAAAGGGATTGTGTTGAATCGTCTTGCACACTGTATGTACAGGTAATCCATGTGCACATTTTCTTTAGGGCTCTGCCCCAAACCTTGCAATAACGATCTCTCCTTTTGTTGTTCCAAAAACGAAGTCCAACCTGGTTCCAATCGATGTGTGCCTAGTTCTCTGCATCCTTTTCCCACGGACAAGCGTGTGGTTTGGCATGCCACACCTTGTAGTCGTATTGAGGGGCCAAGAGGGGGGCGGGGGCGTTATTGAGGTGATAGTGAGAGCGATAATAATCGCTAACACATCAGATAGACTCATTACCCAAAAAACTGTAAGCATGCTAAGGAGCCCTGAAAGCATTAGCATTTCAAATAACCTCTGTGGGTGAACTTTCAGCGAATCCTAGGGTTTCCATATACTTAGGGCCGAATGCATTAACATTTCCGCTGGGGAGGGGATCGCAGCTTCAGAAGAAAGCTTCATAACCTGAAGCTCCGGATATCTGGATTTTACGCTGTCTACCTGTTCGTAAGTACTCCCACCATCCACTATGAACATATCGAGCAGAAGCGAGAAGCTGCACAAGCCGCATTTCCTAGCTTTTTGAGGATCCTGATGATCCCTGGGGGACGAACAGCTATTCTTCAAAGTCATTTTTTTCCAAAGTTAACGAAAACCTTTCAAAGTTATACTGAACATCTAACACAACAGTGCTAAGCATGTTGCTGATGAGAACAAATGAATTTTTGTGAAAAACCGAATTTTTCGGTATACCCCAAATTTCGACCTGTGGATCATCGAAAATTTCTTGACTTCAAAACATCATTTGTTCTTATCAGCAACATGCTTAGCACTGTGGTGTTAGATGTTCAGTACAACTTTTTTTTCGGAAGGTTTTCGTTAACTTCGGAGAATGAAAAATGACTTTGAAGAAAAGCTCCGGGGATCATCAAGGATCATACAAAAGCTGAAAATTGCGGTTCGTACAGCTTCTCGCTCCAGTTCAACATGTTAATAGTGAAGGATAGTAGGAATGCTTACGGATAGGTACACAACGTGAAATCCAAGTATCTGGAGTTTCGAAATATGAAGCTTTCTTTCAAGCTGCGATCCCCTCCCCGCGGCCATGTTAGTGCATGCGACCCTTAGCCAATCAGGTGAGACGGTCATTTTCGGACATTTAACTTTGTTTCGAAAGCAGTTGACTACTTCTTTCTGCACTCAGTTCAAAAAACTACCACTTTTCTCGCCGCTTTCCCTCGCGATTCCCGGAGTAGCGTAAACTTAGCATGTTACAGCAACCAAATATTTTCGCAGTGTTTTCCATTTACATAGGCAAGGAAAAACGACTATCTTTCCTTAGGAGAAAAGATTTTGCAAGGAATTTCCATTGCGTAAAAGAGAAGGTTTAGCAGTGAAAAAAAAATGGAACACAAGTATTTGAATGCTTTGAAGGTGAGTTAATGGGGTGTGGCATAACCCATCAAGAGGTGTGGCAGCCATAGCGTTTCGGGGTGCCACACTTCAATGAATGTTTTGACGAACGAAGTATATACAGTTCGATAGCCAAATCTCGTAGTTTTGCAGAAGTGATTAAAGTGGACTCGTCTTCTTCCGTATGAGCAACCACTGTATTGAAAAGTGGAACGATTGTGATTTTGGCTGGCTCCTCATTCCATAGCTTAATGCTTTTCTGGAGCAGGGTGCATGATATGGGCAAACAGAGAGTAGTGCCTTGCACAGAGTACAAAAAGGGGCAGCTAATTCACTTTCAAAAAATAGTTAACCTTGTTTGAAAGAACCATTTCACTTGGGTGTCCGAATATTGGAAGCCCTCAAAATTTGCTAAAACTTGGCCGACAAGGATTATGACATGATAGTTACAAATATTAGGTCGGTGCAAAAGTTTTGTCAGTTTTTTCAATCCATCGGCAAACCGGCTAGAATGAAGATAAACAAATGCTTTAAAATGTTTCCAATGCAGAATTTCTTCCTCTTTCCAACAGCTAAACTCCCATAGTGTTTCGTTGCGAGAATGACGAGATATTTGCTGGGAATTACAACCACTCGTTTTCACCATGTCCGACTTCCACTAATTTTCAAAATTTTTGTATGAGACTTTCGGAAGGGCCCTAATGACCACCGGATAGGGCAAATCCTTTGCCAACTTACGCAATTTTTTTCCTTTTTTCAGCTGCTTTTTCAGATTTTTGCTAGATAATTTTGCGAAAGTCTTGTGTTTGGAAAAATCGCATAACCTGTTATTGCACCAAACATTGCAGAACCTACAGAATGCTGAGGTTTCAACACTCGATTATTACTACCGCGACCATTACAAAGTAAATGAGCGGTTTTCGCTTCAAATTCTGGAAATTTGAAACATAGTTACGTCAGTGCGCACTCTCGAAATTAAAAAAATACCCTGAAGTGTTTAACATTTGATGTTCTACGAGCTTAAAATAGCCTAAATGTAAAATTTGGTCACTTCAAAAAATAAATCGTAGAAATTCTGAAAGACAAGCCGTAGGGCTACAAAAATTGCATTAGTTGGCAAAAGGTTTGCCCTATCTGCTGGTTATTAGGGCTCCTCCGAAAGTCTCATACAAAATTTTTGAAAATTAGCGGAAGTCGGACATGGTAAAAACGAGTAGTTGTAATTTCCAGCAGATACCTCGTCAATGGGAGTTTTGCAGCTGGAAAGAGGAAGAAATTCTGCATCGGAGACATTTTGAAATGTTTGTTTATCTTCATTCTAGCGTGTTTGCAGATGGACTGAAGAAACTGACAAAACTTTTGCACCAACCTAATATATCACTAATTGTGCTTGGTATAACTTTTAGGTCATGTCTTGGTAGGCAAATGAGAAGTCTGGACTGGGGGTTTTGATGAGAGGAGGGGGAGGGGTCGATCCGGCGGTGGTGTGCCATACTCTTGCTCGACTCTGCCCTCTTTCCAAGAATGAGTCCCGAATTCTTAAATTCCCATTTTCCCATGGGAATTTTTTTTCTTAAGAAGCTTAGCAACAAATATAACAATCTAC